AAACACCAAAAGCCTATAGGTGGCCCGAAAGGTGCCTGTATCTCAGCCAATTCTTATCCGATCCTTGAGAGGGATACCTCAAAAGCTTTCTTTTTCAATTATCCGTCATTCTGCATCAAAATATGGATACCCAATATTTTTTAAATTTTTTCCCCAATTTTTGCCATGGACCCCGTGTGAAATTCTTGAATACCCATACCCTCTTGGGTAGGTGGCTCCATCTCAGCCAATTCTTCAGTGATGCATGAGAAGGATACCTCAATCAGATGCTAGATTAAGTTGCCATCAATGTCCATTTAAATAGTGGTGGAACTCTGGCTATAAAGGCCACTGAAAGGAGCCCAAAGGTTGCGCTATCAAGATTCAAGAATTTTTGAAACAAGCCCGCGATTTGCATATCAATTGCCGCTGAAGAAAATACATCAAAAATTAGACTCTAATAGACCAAATCGAGTTAGGGACGACATCGCAACTTATCCGAGCCCTCGCCCATCACCGCCTCCCCCCCGGGTTATGCTCTTCATTCTCGATTCTGGCCATTTGCATGCTTCATTAGGGCGGTACGCGACGCTCGGCGAATTAAAAGTAATGTTAATTGCGCGCAGTCCACGGCAACTGTGTTCATCCATAATCAATTTTAGCCGCGGGCCCCTCAACAAAAAAAGAAAAAAAACAGTAAAGAAACTCTCAAAATATGACATAAAAATTGTTCCCTTAAAAAACCAAAAAAAAGAAAGAAAAAAAAATATAGAAGCCAGTAAAAATCGACAAGCGAAGCGGCGCCCGGCGTGCAATTCCCGAAGGACGAGTCCCAAGGCGTCGAACTTTGGCAATGAAGTAGAAAATGAAGTAAGGCCACGCCCACCCGTGGACCATGGACCCACCGTGGACCATGGACCATGGACCGCCTGGGCACTGGACCAGCGCTGAATGTATTCATCAATGCAATACATTTGCATATTTCGGGCGTAAAAATTAATCACTAATTCTAATACGAAGAGCGAGTGTACAGAGTGGGGCGGTGGTTCGGTGGAAAAGCGGTGGAATAAAAACGAAGGAAAAACCGAAAGGAAAAGCTCGGCGGCGCCCCTTAAACTTGTTAAGTGGGCAACACTAATGTAGCAATTTTGAAATTAATGAAAAAAGTGAGGGTGTCCTGCCGGCATCAGGCCATCAGGACACCAGGCACCACCAGCCACCCCGCCGCCCATTCGCCGCCACCCACCGAAGACTCCACCCAAATGTAAGGTAAACAAATTGCGCGATGAGGCGTTGTCATTTATAAGGAAAGGAAAACACGAGAAATGAACGGCCAGAGATATTTCCTGTTTTCCTTATAATAATAAAAAATAAATAAATGGAAAATGAGAAAAAAAAAAAAACGCAGCTCGAAACATAAAAATGACCAGCAGAGAGAAGACATCTTCTTCTTGGATAGTGGGTGGGAAAATTTCGCCGGAAGGGGCCGGATGGCTATGTTCGGGGGTGGCTGGGATAATGGAAACGCGGAAAATTGTCTATCGAAGCGCTTGCCACATTTCACCTGCAGCACTTTGATAGCCCGGTCTGGGGCCGGGGCCGGGGCCGTGGCGGTTGCCCCTCCATTAAAACTAATGGGAAATTTGCCATTATTTGATTTTGGATGGCATAGCATCGCTGCCGACTCCAGATGCCAAATTACTCAAGATTTGATTAATTGCAAATTGGAAATTGGAATCTAGAAGCTGGAGCCTGGTTCAGGAGGAAGGCTCAAACAAGGCCAATAAGGGCATAACTTTACGGTTAGGATCTATCAAAGTTCTAGGTGAAAACCGAAGCTGCCTAAGGGGGGCTGGCTAGGTTGGGTCTGGAGGTGGAGGTGGAGGAGGAGGCTACAAGTGCCGGCACATGCAAAATGAGAAAACTTTTCGACCACAACATCGACGCGGTGGCTGGCAAGCGTTAACAGCCGGCGGCCCACACACTTCCACTGCCACTGCCACTGCCATTGCCGCGACTACTGCAGCGCCCTGCTCCTGCAATCCGAACCCTGCATCGCGCATCCTGCGCCCTTTATCCTGCCCCTTGTACCTCATCCTCGATCCTGCCGCATCGTTGTTGTCTGCCCGCAAAAGATTGCTTTTAGAAATTTATAGTTTCAATAATGTGGCGACCGCGTTCCACGAACCGCCGTACACTGTTTTCTGGTGTTTTTTGGTGTTTTTGGAGTGGGCTGTTGGGCTGGTGAACTGGTGGGGTGGTGGGGGGCAGAGTTTTCAGTTCTCATGTGTATTTTCAATTTACGCGTCCATAACTTCGAGTTTCGCAAGTTTACCTACCGAGCCGAGACGCCCCAAGGAACAAGTTGTCGACGGCCGTATATCGAACACTTGAGCAGGATAGGCACACACACACACACACTGAAATCGGAGCAGAGGACACAGAATCCTTTTGCCTTTACTCACAGTGCCTATTCAAGATGGAGGCTGGAGGATAGCACTGGTGGGACTGGAGCAGTTGCCGTTTCCGCAATTACAAAACTTCCGCAAAAATAACAAAACACTCGCTTGGAAAACAGCGTCGAATACATTAGAAGGAGCTGGGAGGTTGGGGGAGCACAGGACACCCACCTCGCAGGACTCGCGAAGTTGGCAGCACATGTGTGTTCGTTCGACACTTGTACGTGCAGATTTTTCTAGGACAGATTTTAATTTCTTAATGCAGAAAGGGCATGCAAATGCAGGGGCAAACTGGGAGATGGGAGATGGGTTAAGCACTGCCGGACAAAGTTGTCTTTGTGCATTCCCAATGAGCCACTGCCACTTGGTGGGTGGGTAGGTAACATCTGCTGGTCGATGCCCACTACTGCCGGAATGAGACACCTTCATGATGGATGCTCTGAGCTCTTTTTTCCTCCCATTCCCATCTCCCTCCTCCTCCAGCCAGATACGGCTTACCATGGCCAGACTGCCATTAGCCTCGTTATCCCGGCTCAATTTTCTTGTATTATATCCATTTTTATATCTGCCATCAAAGAAATTGATAATCTCTTAATAAGCCGTGAGGCAAACAATCCGCTGCCAAAGACGCCGGCAAACCAACAAAATAGAACTTCAAAGAAAGTCCTCTCGGACACGTGTGGGAGTTGGAGTCGTAGCTCCCCAAATATTGACATTTATATGCACGTATGTGGGGCATCCTGGCATCCTGGCCCCTCCCCCAAGGACTCGCCCCCATACCCGTTTGACACGCACACAAATCACTTGATTCAATCATCTCGAAAATTGATAACATGCCATTTACAAATGACACTGCCCCACAAAAAGCAAACTCATTGAGCGGCTGCCACAAATTATTTATAGGCCGGAAAAAAAAAAAAAAAACAGCAGCAGATAGCTTGAAAAAATCAGGACACGTGCCGCCGGTTGACCAGCCCTTGCCACGCCTCCCCTGCCATCCAGCTTGCCTGTTGGGTGAAAGTTGCACGGAGGCAAGTGAAAGTGAAAGTGAAGCCGCACGGCACGCACCCATGCCGAAAAAAAATAAGAGAAGCTGCCTCATTTGGGATGCGTTGCACGCTGAGCTTTTCATTTCAATTTGAACGCATTTTTTGTGGCCAACATCGAGGATATTGGGGGGGAGAAGGAGGACATCCTGTGAAGGATAACTGGCAATCAGAACAATCGGCTCTATCGGACAATTGATTTGAACGCATTTGCGTGTTTGGCCCAAATAACTGAGAATTATTCTCAGTAGCTCCCCGCTCGATGCCGCTCTATTGTTCTCGTCCTGAGCCCTGGGATTCCCCATTGTGCCATCAGGGGGAAAATGGAAAATTTCCAAATGGTACTGAGAGGCGGGGCACGGAATCAAGTTAAGTGATTCGCTACGTGATGCTCTTTTGGGGCAGAGGACTCGTAAAAAAAAAAAACAGATCGTACTTAAAAAAAGGGGGGTGGCTATAGGAGTGGGAGATGGAGGTCGACAGGATAAGATAGAAACTATACATACTATGAGTTTCAATAAACAAACCAAAGGGAGATGGGAGTGGACTGGACCCTGGACTGACCAATTCATTGAGCATTAAACAGTTGACCAGACTTTAATTAAGAGGACAACAAAATGAGGCAACAAAGCCACAGAAAGGGCCCACTGGACGGGGCCAAGAAAGGCGGAGGACGAACTAACCGAAAAGTCGGCAACACTTGAGCCAAATGTCAAATACACACAAAAAGCTGGCAATGAAAACAGAAACAAAAACAACAACAAAAAACAAAAACAAATATTAAAATGAAATGAAAATGCCCTCCGGGGTGCATTTGCCAGCCAAACAAAACTAACCGACCGACCCGATTGAATAGAAAACTATAACAGTAGCAGTGATAGTCTGGGCCAGAGTCTTTCGGAGACCGGAAAAGGTTGGCTCTGTGACCCACACCCCGGGTATATCGATACATCCCCCGCCCCAATCCTCTTCCTCCTGTTACCGCTCACAAAGGCGGCAAAAGTGACAATAACAAGCACAAAATGGTCACGACCGATGATGACAATGAACCGAAAGCTAGTCTGGTATGGTATGGTATGGTCATGCCACTGATCCTGGGACTCCTTGACATCCGGCATAAATGTCAAACGCCAACTTTGACCGCAAACTAGATGGCCGGGTCACTACTACTACTACGGCCAGTGTTTGCGGATGACCAGCAGGGCCAAATATATATTCATAGACCGGAGACGAGCTTCCAATATGTACAGTGCCCTTATATATATATGTATCTCCACATCTCCAAGTCCAGCCAAGTGCGTCGCTTAATTACAAAACGAACAACGCATAAAAACCATCAGATTCAGCAGCAGTAGCACCCTTACCCATATCCCATATCTATATAGAGCCATGGACGAAATAATAAATTTAACTTTAACTTTAATCTCAATCGTAACTCCATGTCAGTTTTCTTGCTCCAATACTTGATGTTTATTGAATTCCAAAGTCGGTCTGGCCAGGCTAGGCATCTATCCATCCATATGACCTTCTTCTGACACGCCATGAGGCGACCGACTTGAGGGACTCGAATTGGGAACCAGACAGGAGATACGAGAGTATCGCAATATGAACTTTAAACATTAACTTGAAATTTAGCCGCAACTGTTAGACCTGTTGGAGAACCAATTAGATTATTTAGTCAAAGGAGTATTTTAATTAAAACCTACCTATAGTTCTCTCCCAACTATTACTAGAGATTTTAAGCCAACAAACTAAAATAACTTGCCAAATGGCCACCAGAAGACCCAACTCTCTCTGACCGTCATTAAAGCCCCAAACCTATTCTAATCCTGCTTGGGACGGCGTTTCTCAATATATAGACCCGTCACTGGGCGAGTCTGAGTAGTCTTCTGAAACTTTAACATCTCTATAATCACCGGGGGTAACTCTAAACCATCTATCCCCAAGCGCCCCAAGTTGTAGAATCTGTTGATCAAAGGGCTAGAAATCTCCGGGTCGGTAGCCCCACGAATCGCGGCTGTCATCTCCTTGTCATCGTCATCGTCCACGCCCAGCAGAAGATCATCATACATTTGAGCTTTCTTTTCTTTTTCCAGCTCCTCAGGCGTCGTCTGCGGAGGACGATGAGGAGGAGTAAAGATGAAGCTAATTCTAAGCCAAATCGAAGACCAGTCTTAAGGGTTGACTTACCTCGGCTTCAATAGACATGGGTGCATCCTCGACCATGGGTGCATCCTTGACCATGGGCTCATCCTCGACCTTGGGCTCATCCTCGGCCATGGGCTCATCCTCGGCAATGGGCTCACCCTCGATCTTGGGCTTATCCTCGGCCATGGGCTCATCCTCGGTATGGTTCTTGGGGACCTGACCCTCCATCGGGGTGTCGTTCGCCTGAGCGGTAGGCACGTCCTCCGTCTGGGTTTGTATGGTTTTGGAGCACCGGAGTCGTCTGACGCGTTTATAAATGGTGTACACAAACACCACCGTGAAAATGATTGCTCCCATCTCCAGCAATAACACCATTGGCGATACGTTGATTTGATATTCAATTGCTGGATAGATGTAGTCCTTGGCCATGTAAAATTTCAGCGCAATCCAGTTGAGGAAACCAATTGATCCCTCTGGGGGCGGAAAAAAAAAATAGTTATTAAGATCCGATTTCGAGATCCGCAATTAAAAACTTGAAGAAATCCCCACGCAAAGGCAAATAAAATGCAATTAGCTAGATTTGAATTAATTAAGTAGCTGGTACAGTCGTCACTGGCTACGGTAAACCGAGTTGATATGGAAACCCCAATATATACTTATTAAAAAGGCCGGGAAAGTGAAAAGTAGTGAGGCCTGCCGGCTGGGATGAGTAAAAAAGCAAAGACATGTGCCAGACAACTCCCACACACGGTAGACACACACACACCACCACACCCCTCCTCCCCCTGGAGTAGTGTCTTTTGTTTATCTTGGGGGCAGACACACGAGAATGCGGGGTGGGTGGTGTTGGAAAAAGTTTGCTGGCAACTCTTTTTGGCAAGGACGAAGTGGAAACAGGAGCAAGCAAAGTGCAATTATCGCAAAATACCTTAAGGTTTACATCGTCAAGAGGTGGGTGGATAAGGACAGGTGGTGGGTGGGTCTACCTGCCAGCTCCTGGTCTAGGAATTTGGAAGTCGGTCCTCGGTGGTGTTTACCCAAGAGCTTTGTATTGAAGTGAATTTTGGCGTGCAATTTGTAGTTCTTTGCTATTTGATTTCTCAAAACAGCGGGCTTAGCCGGAACCCATTTGTCTTGCGAGTCGAGTCGAGTGGCCGGCTTGGATGCATCCCCATCCCCATCCCCACCAGTTAAGTGGTTAATTATCCTGCTCCGCCAGACCAGAGAGAGACCCTTTGATGTCCGATAATTGCGAATTCCATGTGCATGTTTCAGTTCGCATCAAATCGCCGCCCAATGATCGGATTTAAATCAGTGTCGGCTCTGGCGCAACTAAATTGATCTTTTATCGCTTCAACGGTGACTATCCAACCGGACTGGAGGGGATCGGACTGGAGCTGGTAGCCGGCGCGTAAAAGCTTACAAAATACGACAACGCACAGATGCGCATAACTCTGGCAGATGGTGGGGCAAAAGGCGGGTAGGCACTGCGAGAAAAATTCTACTACCTATTAATGAACAGAGTATTATATAGTAGTTATATCTATATCCCTATATCTCTCAGTGGATAATGAGGATCGACGACAACGACGTTCACGCGCTGGGATTAAATCGGAAGTTATGCGAGTGTCAGGAGCTCATCTCCTGCCCCGCATTGGCCACTTGATTGGAGCTAACCAAGAATATGGTCGGATGGTATCGGCTGGCTGGCTGGTATCGGGATGAGAGTGATGAAGCAAAAATTGTTACCGTATCGAATGCGGATTAAAATCAGCGAACAAGTTGATCCAACCAGGGCTGTCGATCTGAATTTTTGTACAGAAGGAGGAGAGTGTGTGTATATAGTGTGCACCTTAGCCGTATTGATGGGCACTGAAGAGGGTCGATAACGAATCAATTAGGCCATGGGAAAGGAAAAAAAAAGACTCTCAAAGAAAAGCCTGGGGACTCTGCCAGTGTCTTTCTCGCTAATCAGCAACATTTCAAGTGGCTCTGGGTAGGGCAAGGGAAAAATAAATAAAAAGAAATCGGTTGAAAGCGAAAAGGATTAAACAAATAAATCACTTGGCTCAGTTTTCAGGACATCCCATTGCCGAACTTGGGAGAAAAAGGGCTCTGCAGAAAAAGGGTTGCCCACACCAATTAATGAGTTAAAAATTGTGCAGCATTGGGAGGCAGCATTGAAGGAGGATGGAGGTCCTCTCCAACCCTCAGACCCATGGCCCTCAGCAAAAGAGCAAAATTAATGAAGATATTCACTGTCGTCGGGCAGAGGGATTGGTGTATTTTTTTAAAGGACAGCCAAAGGACCAAGGAAAAAATCATTTGATTTTTAATTACGCTGATTTTTTATATTAGAACGGAAACAGCTTGGAATAGCAAACACCTTGGAAATTAACACGCCCCGAGTACTCGACTGGGCCACTTGCCTTTCGACTCCGGATCGAAAAACGAAGAAATGGAGAGCGCGGGTGGATGCTGGGTGAGCAGGACGCTGGCCAGGATCTGATGCCAACTGGTGGTCCTGGCACGCACGAAAGGGTTTCGACTTAATTAAACCGTTTCTTCCTCTTTCAGCTTTCGTTTCAAGCTCTTATTTTTTAATTTTTTGCCCGTCTTTCTTTCTGACGCGAGCTGACGGAGCTGTGAAGGAGGTGGAGGTGGAGGCGGAGCTGTCATCGTATTGGGGGCCACTGCGAAAAGTGGACTCCAAATTGACATCTAAAGTGCTCAAAATGTTCTTTAATTAAGTGTGACAAGCTGTGGGCAGCTGTGGGGGCCTGGAAAAAGGGTCGATCAATGGCCCGGGAATTAAATGCCTTTTGCTAATAATTTTTAAATATGAAGGTAGGAGAGAGCAAATGCTGGTAGACTAGTCTCTCTAGTTAAGCATAGGCTAATACCTAAGCAAGGTAGTATAACTAGAAGAGTCACTTACCAAAATCGCCTTCGGGCTCGTTGGTGTGGCCCATTTTCTTATGTAAATAGGAAGACATCTTTCTAGTTGATTCAATTGCGGTCTCTAGTTTAGATATTCTACAACCAAATTATTAAAAAACTATTATTATTTTGAAAGCTTTAAAAATATATAAATCCTATCTGGATTTTTTTTTCTGGCTTTCAACAATCTAGTTTGACTATACGATTCAGACTGTTTGGTTTATGCCTCTCCCATGACATATGAAAAAATATAATATAATTCAAGGCCTACTTGTTTGAAATTCCCATCTCCAGACTAACTTATTTCTATTGTTTGGGAAACTCTATCGATATACTTTTCCTTATACACTCGATGGCGCTTAAAGGACCTCCGGCAATTAGCCAGGGCGGGATGTGGGTGGTGGGGTGGTACAAACCATCAGTCCCCGACATAAATAATAATCAATTTGAAATCAAACCGGGCCACCAGACGACAATGTCCTTGCCGAAATGCAGGAAAGGAATCAGAATTGATGATTATTGCTTTTTGACAGAGATTCGCCAAGGCGACAATGAAAAGAAGTCGGAAAAACCAAACATACCACACAGAGGCCCACACGTGCTATATATGTATGTATGTATATCCTTTATGGGAATCCGCCCGTATGTGTGGTAGTATCAATAAAATAGCCACACACACACACTGGCACGTGGGGGCTGTGGGGGCCCAGGCCGGCAACAATATTTATGTGCATGTTATAGTAAGTGCAAAATAATAGCCAGCGGTCGAGGGGGTGGCCGAACGAGGGAGGTTGGACCTTCCAGGCCATGACTATGGCAGCAGGGGAGTGGCACGCAGACACGTAGCACGCAGACTAGTACTAAAAATGTTTCAACAATTACCAAGGAAAATGATATGTTCTCTATGTGTGGGTGTGAGCATATGTGTGGCGGTTGCCGGGGGAGAGGGGTCTGCAAGGGGGGGGCGGGGTTTCAGCAAAACTGGCAATAATGCACTCGACACTTTTATTTCTTTTTCATTAGCCAAAAAGCGACAACGATGCTGCTTTCTTGCCACAGCCACAGTCTTAGCCTTAGTCTCCGTATCAGCCCTTGTCCTTTGCCCTTCATAGCTGCCCTGCCCCCTCTTCACCCACAATTACTGTCGTGACCTTTGAATGTCTACCGATATTGGAGAATATTGAGCAAAGTTCAAGAAGGGAAGAAGGAATATTGAAGAAATTATAAGAAACAGTCCTAGCTATTTTTGAAATAAAATACAAGAATTTTGGGGGGAAGCTTCATAGTCAGTCTGACTAGCTCTTAGTAACTATACCATAGCTCTTAATAACCAAAATCGATCTATCTGTTAGTGACTATGTTTAGCTTTCAAAGTAAAGTAAGAAATGTGATGTGAGAAAGGCCTGGATTTAATCTTAACATCCCAAAGTATACTCCAGTTCAAAGTACCCACAAGTATCTATAATAACAAGAAAGGAAAGCTAACTTCGGGCGGAGCCGAAGTTTATATACCCTTGCAGTTAAAACCGGATATATATCGCAAACATCGGATATAGTTGGCCGATCCTTATGGGAATAGGAATATATAATCCAATTTATTACAATACAAAATCTAAAAAAAATCCCAAACTTCTATCTTCAAAAATACGAAAGTTGATATTTCTACCAAATACCATTTCCGATCGTTCAGTTATATGGCAGCTATAGGATATAGTCGGCCGATCCTAATGAAATTTGGTAGGTCGGATCAACTGACCAAATATATAATCTGTACCAAGTTCCAGCTTTCTATCTTCAAAAACACGAGTTGGGTCAAAGTTGGGTCATTTCCGATCGTTCAGTTATATGGCAGCTATAGGATATAGTCGGCCGATCCTTACGAAATTTGGCATGTCGTATTATTTTGCCAAAAATAGCTCTCATGTCAAATTTGAACTCTCTAACTCTAAAAACACCAAAGTTATACCATTTCCGATCAATCAGTTATATGGCAGCTATAGGATATAGTCGGCCGATCCCGGCCGTTCCGACTTATATACTGCGTGCAAAGGAAAGAAGGGTGTGTGCAAAGTTTCAAGACGATAGCTTCAAAACTGAGAGACTAGTTCGCGTAGAAACGGACAGACAGACAGACAGACGGACAGACGGACAGACGGACAGACGGACATGCTCATATCAACTCAGGAGGTGATCCTGATCAAGAATATATATACTTTATAGGGTCGGAGATGTCTCCTTCACTGCGTTGCACACTTTTGGACAAAATTATAATACCCTCTGCAAGGGTATAAAAACATATTTAGTTATGTAAATAATTTTAAATAATATTATTAAAAACATTTATTTACTAAATATTCATTTGGACTATCACCAAATATACTACAAATCTTTAAATCCCATTCCGAGATCAAGCAACCCATGACTCGTCAAACGTCAGATGTAAAACCTATATAAGGCCAACAGGCTCATTACACAAATCAGTATTTCCCCACAATCCGTATCAGACGGTTGTGTTATATTTTGCTACTAAATTTTGTAGAAAAAAAAAAAAACAAAAAAAAAAATAATTTCAAAAACTAAAATTTAATTTCGAGAATCCGAATTCCAAATTTTCAGTCTCCAGAGTTTTTTTTTTTTTCGTTATTTGTTATTTTTAGGATTAAGCATAAAGTGAAAAATTACACATACCTGTAGCCAGGTTTTGGATAAAACATCTACACTATACTACACACAAAACATAGATGATATAGACGCTACACTACCTACAACATGGAGACAAAAATAACACAAGCTGCAAAAAGATTTGCAGAGTTGAGACTTTTACTTACACCGCAAACCCCCAACTTTGAACTTGTATTGCTACTGGAATTACTGGATATTACTAGGCATTCTGACAAACTGGCTGAGCTTTGATCGATAGGAGACGCTAGACGAAATCATCCACGGAGCCGTCTGTTGTGCCATCGCCCCTGTCCTGACTGTAGGGTACCATGGCGGCTCCACACCCAAATCAAATTTTAGTGCAACTTTTGGAAACATTGGCGAATGAAAAAAATTGTATCAAGACTAAAAGAGAATCCCAAGTATAGCCACGATTTCAGAGGACTGCCGACTACAGGAACAGGCCTCACCGGATGATAAGTAGGTGTGCCAACAATATCTTGGTGCACTCTGACCTCAGACTCTTACTTTGCAGACAAGACGAGCCAGGGGATCCAGAGCAGATCTACCCACCGTCCGTGGCCATCGAGGACAGAGCCTTCCTTCCTTCTCCTGCCTCCCAGGGGAAGGCCACGCCGGATGACAAGTGTGCCAATAATATATTGGTGTACTCTGATCTCTGACCAGGGATCAGGTGGTGGAGATCTTCCCGCTGCCCATACCCGGCGAGGTGCCGATCACGCTTAGAGCCTTCCTGCCACATGTCCCTCCGAGAGGGATCTGCCCACCGTCCGTGGCCATCGAGCGCTGCCCATACCCGGCGAGGTGCCGATCAAGCTTGGAGCCTTCCTGCCACACGTCCCTCCGAGGGGGATCTTCCCACCGTCCGTGGCCATCGAGGGCAAAGCCTTCCTGCCACGTCTACCAGGGGAAGGTCTCGCCGGATGACAAGTGTGCCAATAACATCTTGGTATACTCTGATCTCTGACCAGGGATCAGGTGGTGGAGATCTTCCCGCTGCCCATACCCGGCGAGGTGCCCATCAAGCTTGGAGCCTTCCTGCCACATGCCCCTCCGAGGGGGATCTACCCACCGTTCGTGGCCATAGAGAGCGAAGCCTTCCTGCCAGGTCTCTCAGGGGAAGGCCACGCCGGATGACGAATGTGCCATATCTTGGTATACTCGGATCTCTGACCAGGGACCAGGTGGAGATCCTCCCGCTGCCCATACCCGGCGAGGTACCCATCGAGCTTGGAGCCTTCCTGCCACATCCCCCTCCAAGGGGGATCTAACCACCGTCCGTGGCCATCGAGCACGAAGCCTTCCTGCCCCGTCTCTCAGGGGAAGGCCACGCCGGATGACAAGTGTGCCAATAACATCTTGGTACACTCCGATCTCTGACTAGGGATCAGGAGGAGATCCTCCCGCTGCCCGTGCCCGGCGAGGTACCCATCGAGCTTGGAGCCTTCCTGCCACATCCCCCCTCCGAGCATCGATGTCCTGGTCGAATCTCTGGCTGTCCTTTGGACGTGGATTCCTGATTTGTACTTAGTAGCCTTTTACGTTTGAAGCATCCTTGGAAATACACGACACACACACACTAACAGCATAATGTCTATAAATTCTGGGATTTGTGGGGAGTGTGTGGGGGGGATGGGGGCCAAGTGAATGGCAAGACTGTCATAATTTCTAATACCCGAACCCAAGACGTCAGATAGGGCTCCACAACCCTACTTTATTGTATCATAACGTGGCCCATTTGGTGCCTGCCTGCCTGCCCCCTGCCTGCCTGCCCCCTGCCTGGCTGCCTCCTAGCCCCCTGCCTGCCTGCTAGCGTGTGTGTGCGATCCAATAGTTTGCAATTAGCTGGCCGGCAATAAAAACGGCAATCAACATAAAAATAATCGGGAGGAATCGGACGAGCTTTGATGGGCTTCCTTGAAGACTCCTGACTGACTCCAAAGCCGAAGGGCCCTGCCGAGTGTAAACTTTAATTGGACGTGTTCTGGCCCTCGTCCCGCCCGTCCACCACAGAGGCCCGAAAAATGTAGAACGTAAATCTATTGCCAAAAAAAAATTCGGGCAAAAGTGGCCCAAAAAGTCGTGTGCGCGTTGTAACGTACAAATTATGTAAACAACGCAGGGGCGGTCTAAAGATTGGGGGGAGGAGTGAAATTATGAGCCCCGGGGCGGGTCAATTTTCCGGGGCGGGGTGGGGGGTTGAGAGGACAACTGCGAGCCCAGATGAAAAATTTCAACCGTAGGCAATATTCACAATTAAAAAGTAACGTAGAACAGACAAAGGAGGGCGGCCGGCCGGCCGGCGAGGGTTGGGTTCAAAAAACAAATGGAAATTGGTGGAAAAAACTGTGAAAAAGCCCTAAAATCAATAGGAAAACCTCAAATGGAGTGGGCGTGGGTCTGAGGAACTGACAATGTCGGCCCATTATCCACTGTGAGAAATGGGGACCAAGAAAGTGGGAGTTTTATAGTTATCAAAGTTTGTTTCATGCGAGGTGTCATATTTTAAAAGGTTACTTTGATGTGGTCTGAAGACGTATGATGATGTATGATGATAGTATGATC